CTAGCTGGGGGGCACAACGGGTTGGGGGGCAAGGACTGTGGGGCCAGCTAGCTGCTAGCTAGCTGGTGTGTTTCTCCTCTGCATGCATATATATAGTGATAGAGTATACAGAGCAGCAACGGGGTGTACATACACCGCAGCAACACAGCCGGGGGGGCCGCTGCTGTCTGTGTTGCAGCCCCGTGGTGCATGCAGCCCCAAAAAAAGTAAATATGTTTATATATCTTCTCGTGGTTTGAGTGCATATTTTATTCTTTTATTTTCTGTATTTATTTATATTTTGTTTTCTTTTGTTTTGCATGCAGAGAAGCACAGAGGGGAGCCCCGTGAGCTGAGGTGTACATACACCGCAAGTGGCTGTGTTTGTTGTGTTGGTGTTTTGTTTATCTTTCTGCTCTTCTTTTTCTCTTTTTTTATTATTTTTTAAAAAAAAATAAATATATTTTGGGTTTTTATAATATAATGCAGGAGAGAGAAGTCCTACAGAGGGATTGAGCCACGTAGCTGCAGCACCCGCCAGCTCTTCGTGTTGCTGCTGCTGCAGCGAAGCAGCTGTAGCAGCAGCAGCAGCAGCAGCAGCAGCAACAGCAGCAGCAGCAGCATGCATGCATAGAGAGCATTGCTAGTTGTTTTGGGGTCTGCTGCTACGCTATGACAGCCGCTGCAGCCAAGCAGCCAGCTGCTGCTGCTGCTGCAGCAGCAGCAGCAGCAGCACCTGCTGCTGCTGCTGCTGCAACGGGTCCAGGCTCCGCAGCAGCAACAACGAACCAACAACCGCAAGCAGCAACACAAACAGCAGCAGCAGCAGCAGCAGCAGCAGCTCGGAATAAGGAAACAAAGGGGGAGACGAGCCTGCAGTCTCTGTGTGCTGCATCAGCTCACCGCTACGTACCAGTCAAACTCATCAGCAGCAGCAGCAGCAGCAGCAGCAGCAGCAGCAGCAGCAGCAGCAGCTCGCCAGATGCAGGGGTGGACCGCAGCATCCTCGTCGATGCATACAGACAGTGCGACCTGAAGA